GGAAATCACATGATACAGAGATAATTTTTTTTTTTTTTTTTGAAGTTTGTATTATACACAGGTAAAATATTTTCTGGATAGGTTAAAACTCATGCAAAAAAAATTCAGGGGTCTTGATATACATGAAGTTCAGAGTCTGTCTATATTTCTGAGATGAGGTATTATGTACAGTATTTACATTAGTCGGACTATTGTCCTCATCTTTGTCGCCATATTTGTCACAACGTTTCGGCCGTTGTACGCTCCGGCCTTCTTCAGGTGGTTGGAATTTCGAACTGAACTGAACTGAACTGAACTGGGTCTGTTACTGGATCTAACCAACGCCTTTATCCACTGTGCCATGTGTCCTTGAGGACCCAAAGAAGGTGAGTTCAATACCTGGTTAAGGCAGTGGAGAACTTTCAGAGTGAAAATTAGCAGGAGATAACTGATAACTGACATCCATCAAACATGGGCGTGGAACTAGAACAGTCTACCCCAGTGATCAAAATAAAGGGTTCAGTTCGGAAATTCCAACCACCTGAGCGTACAATGGCGAAACGTTGTGACAAATATGGCGACAAAAGATGAGGACAATAGTCCGACTAATGTAAATACTATACATAAAGTTGTCTTCTACATGAGTGTATGTATATATATATATATATATATATATATATATATATATATATATATATATATATATATGGTAGCTTAGATATGGATAAAAAACGAGACAATTTGTAGACATTTTTTTTTTTTTTTAATTGTAAAATGAAATTGGGAAATTAACTTTTTGGTATAGTCAGCAGCAAAAAGCAAATATAACTCAGCAAATTGATTAAATAAATCAATGTTTAGTGCCACTATTAGTATGTGAAAATAAAAATACTAGAAATATGTAAACTATAGAAAAAAGTATGCTAAAAATCCTAATGTTTTCACATCTTTTTATATGTAATTTATAAAATTGATATCTTCCTATATTTAATTCATTAAACTGTATTCATATATTAACTGATGTTTATGAATATTTATGCAATTTTAAGATTTTCAAATTTCTATTTAAAATATACACATTGAAGCATAAATTAAAACTATCTTTTCATTGGTCTATGTTGCTAATAACAATAATGCTTTTTTTTTCTAAACGTAATCCAATCTTTGAAACTATTTAATTGGGACCTTCAAACAAAAAAAAATTATTGGTTGAAATTTAAGCACCTCGGAAGAAATATTAAAACACATCAGTCATGAGAATGTGGATATGGTATAGAGGTAGTATCATGGCTAGAATGTCTGAGAAGAAGGCAACAAAAATAATTGGTTTTAGAATAATACCAAATATGGAAGAATGAAAGTAATGCTTCATAAATTTGATTATACAGAGGAAAGATACCAGGTACTGTGTAGCATCTGACCAAACAGATAAATAAATAGAGCAGTTAAACTATAAAATGTGCCAAACTCCATGATCCTTCAATATAACAATAGAATGGATGTTGATCTTTTTCCTTCTAGGTATTAAATCCCTAAACAAATGATGCCGACACAAAAGTGCAACTGAAAATATATTGACACTTCATTCATTTTCCCCCCCACCCATGAAATTTACTTGTTTACTATTTGTGCAAAATACTAGATTTTACAGTTATTGTTATGCCAGACTAAGATAACAAATGACCTAATTAGGATACCAAGGTTGTTTTGCACCAGTATCACTCATTTGAAGAGGTTTGCAGCCTGCCTTGAAAACCACCATTCAAAATCCTGGTTTTTTTACTTGGAATTTAACATCAGCCACTCACACAAACTAAAAATATGCAAATATAAAGTGTCATTTTATCTGAATATTTTTAATATATATCTACCTAATGTTATTGCATTCTTAATAGACT